GGTAAATAGTGGTTTTTCTTTACAAATTACGAAAATTTTACAAGTCCAAAATATTGAAAGTGAAAATTTTTATAAAAATTAGTTCATTATACGTGGAATGTAATCGTGAACATTTTTTATGAAAATATATTTTTGAAATATTTGAAAATTTATTAATTATTTAATTAATTAATTAAATAATTTATTTTTGAAAAAGTTGTTAAAGAAAAAGTTGTTCTTTTTTGTTTTCTTAACACAATGATTTAAACTAGAGTCTTCTAGGATATTCAGAACGTGACTTATTTACAGAAAACAAAAGTGGTAAAAAGTGGTAAAAAAGTGGTAATTGTGGATTTTCCTGAAGTCGAGGATTTTGGGAACTCTCTGGAATGATTCCTGGGACCTGTCCCGACCATATCCCGTTAAAATCGCTTTGTTGCGAATTTTGTCCGACAAAAAGACGGATTTGACTGTACTAATACTCATATACGAAATATTATTCGTATTTTTTCAAAGATTTTCTCTTTCAAAGATTTTCTGGATACTACGTTTGTTCATGTTTCATGCTACCGACCCTGATCATTATGGGCTTCTGACTTCCGTACATACATACATATGAACATGCAGGGTAAAACCAGCTTGGTAATAAAATGTCTCGAAAAACATCACCGATGCTTTAAACATGGACAATTGTCTAGTTGATCCTGTAACTAGGCTAAAAAATTCGACAAATTGTATATTAATTAGGATCAATATATAATATCAATGACCGTCTTAAGTGTGCTTAATCACTGCACTCGAATGCCAAGACGTTTCTAAAATAACCCCGGCAGCTGAAAAGACATTAGTTCGATGTATTTTTGAACGCTAATTCCCAATTATCTGTCCGTCAGAGCTCATGCGATAATTAAATTAAATTAATTAAATTTAAATAAATTAAATACCGTAAGCGTAGAGGAATTAATCGCCGTAATCCTAAACTCATAGCGATTTGGATTTCTCGTTAACTACTTTAAGTGAGAAATAAAACTTTAGTTAGTCCTCTCGAATAAAATATTACACACATGCTACTGTTTGCGCTACCAACGCATTATTTGGACCAATATACCACAGCCAAGTGATCCAACAGTGACGTGGTCATGACCACGTGTGTGCATGATACAGTGACGCGTTATCACTAATAAAACATCAATAAAGTTACATTATAGAAATAAGTTATTGTCACGAGAATAAGTTACGAGAATCAGTCATGAATTGTTTGTTTGGACTTGTCACAGCCATGGTATAAAAAAAGGGTGCGTGTGTATACATGTGGCACGAATAACACGTTTACAATATTGAACCCGAAGCTTTCATGAATTTATACAAATAGACATAACTAAGCGTGATCTAGCTAGAGGAAAGTGATTCTCATGTTAATCTCACACTATACAGCAAGAGGTTTAGCACACTATTCCAATAATCCTGCACTCTGTATAGACTGCATGTACTGCAGACCCAGACAGCGAGATATCAGAATTTACATGATTATATAATTATAATAGAGCTTTATGTGATGAGTTAAGCTACACATATGCAGTATAAACCACCCCCCCAAAAAAAAAAAAACCCCAAATTGAATAACCATGACATTAACCAAGTGAGCTGCTTACTGCTTACTGCTATGTGTCTGCCTGAGTCTGCACTGCATGCGTTAAACTTGGAGCTGAGCATGATCTGTCCAACTGAGAATCACATACTGTATGATTCACATGACAATCGAATATAAATAACTGTCTTTGTCTTTTCTTATTTTGATCCGAAATATTTGTTCATCAAGCTCTGTTTTTATTGTTTCTTTCATTATGTCCATTCTTCACTTTTAATATGACTAGTGACTAGTCATTCCATAGCCATTATGTCGATTTAGCACCCGCCCACTCAAGAATTGCAGCCGCAATTGATCAAGTCGGTTGAAAGGATGAGAGAAAAATACGAATTTAGAACTTGTTTTGGTTAAATGTAATAATATCTTCCTATCATCCTTTTCAATCTACTGCATTCGAATAACCTTCCAATTTCCGTGTATCAATTTTTGAACAAAAATGGTGTTAGCTTGATTTTCCGCATTCTAAAAACTTTAAAATTTAATGATTATTAAGTGAGTTTCATACAATTTGTATCAATGGATAACATCGCCTTATTACGACGACCCGGGCCCATACAATGAACTTTAAACTTTAGTAATGAATGTTTTAATGAGATTTATTTAAAACCTATAACGTAGCTATAATACGGTAATGCGGTAATGCGGTAACCGAACGGCGAACACTCACCTAAACTTATAACTGTTATCATAAGTGTTTTAATGGTAAATGGTGCCGTGAAGCTAGGATTGATTTGTCTGACTGTTATGAACTTATAAACGATCAGTTTTATAGTTTATAAACTACTACTAAATTATCTCGAGAGTCGCTATAGTTATACAGTAAAACCCCGAGTTTATTTGCTGCAAACCCCGGTTTATCGCAGACCCTGATTTACTGCAAACTCTGATTTATCACGGAATCCACATTTTCCCTTCCAACTCCGCGGTAAATCCGGGTTTTACTGTAATAAGTTAATATAAACTACTGTGCGCCGATGAGAGGATCAGTGGTAGATCGATATCTCTGCGCTACACACATCTCACTAGGTATACTTAGTGGCATCTCTCTCGGGCTCCTATGGTCAGGGTGCCCTTTACTAACGGGGAGCGAGATCGGACAGGGAGTGTATCGGCACTATGGTTAGATCTGGAGGAATACATAGCCTGTACGTGCAGTCATATGATCGGCTTTTAAGGTTGGGTTTCTCAGTTTGATAATTTTTCTCACCAAACTGTCAGACCGAAGACAATGCCACAAGGGACGACTAACTCATATTTCATGTCTATATCAGAAAATAAAGAGGGAAATTGTTAGGGCAAATCTATTTATATATTTTAGGCTGAAATTCAGGTGCCAGGCAGATCCTACTGTCGCTAACATTCCTATATATTGTCTTATAGTTATTGTACGTGATGAACATATGATGAAATAAGAAGTTTAGTGCTGAAACTCAGCCAGGATAGTTGCTCAAACACGATGGAAATGGTTTAAACGGTGAACTGTAGAACTACAATAGCACCATCCACTAAACTATCCAAGGCTGGGAAAGAAACGCAGTGGTTGGGTGGGGGTACCTGCACACGTCTCATTCGATCTCCCACAGGGAACCGTTGTCTGGCGCATGTAATTTAGTCTTTAAAGAATCTAAACTTATGGTATAACTTCAACTATAACTTAAATACGAATGTATCTATATTATAAGTAGTATTTGTTTTGTGAGATATCTAGACTTGGCTAAATGACGGATATTATTTGTGTACTATTCTATCAGATCTCAGCGCGACTTAATCAGGTACTCTCAGTTAACACATACAACCGGATATTATACCATTATTATGGTATATATCTCATAATAATAAATGTTTCAGCTTAATTACTGACAGACTTAAATTCTTGGAGATTAAGTTAGAATCCATTGACTCGTTTCTCACGAGTAATTTATCAGAAGCTCGAGATTCCGTTACTAAGCACTTTAATGTCTTCACCCGCATTCCTACTTACATGAAGAAGATATTCCAGTGCTGGCATGTGTTTCGAGGCCTTATAACTAAACAATTTCCCGGTGCACCTCGTTACGTTTTTTCTGATCTACGTCAATTTTTTTTTTTTTTTTTTATTTAACATGTTTCTAATACCTCTAATATAGGTCCTTTTATAGCCTGTGAGGTAATGGAGGTCAATCCGATACATATGTCAAATCTACCCCAATAACAGTGGCATTCCTGTTTTGCATGAGACAGTGTATAGGGTTCCTGAACAAGTTTTTATGTTGAACGCACTAATATCTTATCAAGTGTAAACTATAATATTAATACATCCATGATACAATGAGACTTTCACATAATATTGGACTCCGCATCTTAATTCTATAATTATTTGTTAAAGCTTTTAATGATATGTTCAGTATTCCCAAACTAGCTAATAAAGCATAAATTCTCAGGCGAGGTTATGTAAGACGAATGGTTTCTTGTTCAGTAACGATAAAGCTATAAGTGATTTGCTATACGGGGCGTTTTTACCATATAGACACGAGAGTTGGATGGAGACAATCTGGTGGATTGAGCGGAGGATTGCCAATAGGAGCGTACCATATTGCGGTATGGTGTTGCGGGCTAAGTAACAGTAATACCAATCCCGATATAGGTCAGGGTCACCAAATACCGATCATAGCTATTGGACGACATAAATACTGGGTCGTCGCCTGGCGGTAATGATTGTTGTGTGTGGTGTTATTAGCTTAGTAATGGACAGTTCGTTGGACAGTTTCATTGCATTTATTTCTCAGTTTTTTCGCCCTTTTTTCGAGGACACACGAAAAAGTGGAATTCAAATAGTGTCCATTATCTCTATATTGTTGGCTTTTTTTGAGAATTGTTATGGCTTCTTGAACTAATTGATTCGTACAAACAACAGTTTATGCCTACCACTATCAGTCGCTTTTGATTGCCTTATAAAGTTTAAAACAAATCTAAGAGTAAGCTTTACTCTTGATCTAAAACCTGTAATATTTGAAATTGTCCCTATATTTGTGTACCCTTCCAGCAATATGAACCCAGAAGAGGGATTATATTTCAACAAAAGTGGTTGCAGTATTTGCGACCCAACTGCAGGTGGTAGTTGCGAGATTGTGTGTGATGAGGTGGCAGATCTTGATGCTGGGAATAGTAAGTGTTTTCTTCAAATAATCAAGTTTCAATCTTAAAATGACCCTAACTTACGGTATCACTAAATTCTTAAACCAAATGATGTTTTACTGATAGTAAAAGTCTTTTACAAAAACCTTGCATCTTAAATTTTCTGTAATCTCCCATAGAGACAGTCTATATAAAAAATGCGTAATTGTTCCTGAAACATTTTGATAAAATCTCCCAGGTTCATCTGGTGATGGGCGTAGTAGGATTTATAGTGAACACTCTAGCTCTCTACCTCTTCTACAAGATGGGAAAACAGAAGCCATACTACATTGTCATTGTGTTTGAAACCTTTACCGACCGTGGTGTGCCTGACGGCTCTTACAGTGCTTGTTTCTTACTCTCCGGTTAGATTCCAATATTAATATGTTGATTTTATTACTCTCCGGTTAGATTCCAATATTAATATGTTAGATTTTAATACTCTCCAGTTAGATTCCGAATATTAATATTGGTAGATTTATATACTCTCAAGGTTAGATTTCCCAATAAAATGTAGATTTTCTTTTCAGCTTTACTGTGTAGCTTTACAAAGGATACATATCAAATACACATCCAACTGACATTGTAAAGATCCCTAACTACCCTTAAACACGTTAAACGTTTTAAAACCGAAATTTTAACCACATATGGTAAATTCTAAACGTTGCCGCAAAATTAAATCATCTCAGATCGACTTTAAATAGTCCACTGGTTCAGAATGAGATTTCGACACTATAATTGTATACTACAAAAAGAACGCTGATAATTTAAATTCTTGCTCTAAAAACATGACGGAATTACAATCCAACCTCCAGGAAGAGACGACTGGTTCCAATCCCTGTCACCGCTGTGTTGAGATAGCAGAATGGTATGGAACTGGAACATGGTCATCACACCCCTCCTCCTCAGTGTAGCTGGACTGATGAGGCTACATGCTGTCTACTATCCGCACAGTGCTTCCTTGACAGGAACAGTAGACTGGTTAGTACTGAGTTAACTTACTTATACAGGTCGTTCTGACTTCTGAAGGTTGTACACTGTACACTGTACACTGCACTGTACACTGCACTACATTGTACAGTGTACACTGTACACTGTACACTGTACACTGTACACTGTACACTGTACACTGTACACTGTACACTGACAACCTTCAGACTGTACAGTATACAGTATATGGCTCCTAAACGTTATATTTATACGCTATTTAATTTACAAACTGAATCCTTTGCGTTGCAAAACATTACGAATGAATTGGTACGGTCTGAGATTGTTGAATAACATTATTTCAGGTGGTTGGACTTTGTGTTATCGCATATATCTACGGAGTTGCTTACGCTTTCTTTCCGTACTACTTCGACAATTTCAAATACGAATTCAAAAATGTGTAAGTCAATTTCTGATTTCTAGAACAAATCTTATTTCGTGATATTACTGACTTTGACCAATCACTATTAGCATTGTAGTAATATCATTATTATTATTCCCAATTCTAATACATTATGCTTGTTTACAACGACTGTTTGATGAAAATCATAATTCTCTCCAGTCGAAGTAACTGTGACTTTGTACTCGATGCAGAGGGAGATAATGCTGAAGAGATCGGATCATTATATTTTGCACTGATGGGGCCTATTCCAATGTTTCTGTCCCTCCTTCTTATCATAGTTACCAACTCAGTTATTGTCATCTATATTATGAAGCGTTATAAGGTAATTAATATGGATTTATGTTTTTCTTGGATAATCTTAAAGTGGTTGCTTTGAATGTCTGATGTCAAATCTAAAAAGCTATCATGTTTCAGTATAGGTAGTTAAGTATTTTAGTTTAATCATACATCTGATTCGTGTACCCAGTTGCTTTTATAAATTTATGATCTGGTTAAAATTGTGCAGTCGTCATGGAATCGAAAAAAGTCCAGAAAGTCCAGAAAGCAAGGTAGCTTTGGAAGCTTCATTATAAATATGGACCAGAAAGTTCAAAGCAAGCAAGTTGTAAGTTAAATTAATAATTTATCTACCAATTTGTACTGTACAATGTACAATTATTATGTACAATGGATTCAAATTATCATATAAAACGACTGTAAAAAATACTGGTAACTAGGCACCATTTTTTAAAGGAAATTTTTAAAATTTCAAACTGATATGGTGCAAGTAACTTAACAATACAATTTCAGATAGTATCACTATTGATGATGACCGGATGGTACATGATGTGTTACTCTATCATTATATTCTGTAACTTCAAGAATTTCTTTAGCTACTGGAGAGCATACTAACACTGACATCGGAGTGGTGAGCTATATCTTTTTAATAATATACTCTTTAATAAATACATGTTACATTGTATATATTATAATACAATAAACTACTCATTACTAGTTTATTGTAAGACTGCACAGGATATGCAATATATTTCAGTTTTTACAATGCAGTTCACTTTTGGTTTTAACTTTCGAATATGAATGTCAAAATCTGAAGAATATTTTAAGCAGTACAACTACAAGAACCTTATAATATAATCTTTATCATATCCGTAAATAACAAAACCTGTTTCAGACTGAACAAAGCTCCACCTATTTCTACGCTACCTACAACTTCTTAGCCTACCTCAACTCGTTTGTAAACCCCTTTATTCTATTAACGACGGGGAGTAGCTTTAGACAGGAACTCGGCAGACTTTCTCTCAGAATTAGAAATAAATGTGGTCTGATCAGTCATAAAGAATCCAGAGCAGCAAGCCTACAAGACACTAATAATGCAACGCTGAGGAGGACAAGCTTGCCTCTGATTCAGGAACAAGGGGAAATTTAGGAATGTGACCTCCACGCCGCCGAGGATATTAATCAAGCTCAACCAACATCATACCAGAGCTTCAACCAAATTATACCACTTAATAACACATTAGACCAACCTCAACCAATTAACAATTCAACACATTATACCAGCTCAACATATTAATTACCAGCTCACCACATTAGACCAGCTCAACCACATTAGACCAGCTCAACCAAATTAGACCAATTCAACCAAATTAGACCAACTTAACCACATCAGACCAGCTCAACCATATTAGACCAGCCCAACCAAGATGATACAGCATAATATAACACATCAGACCAGCTCAACCATATTAGACCAGCTCAACCACATCAGACCAGCTCAACCACATTAGACCAACTCAACCACATAAGACAGCTCAACCACATTAGACCAATTCAACCACATTAGACCAACTCAACCACATTAGACTAGCTCAACCACATTAGACCAGCTCAACCACATAAGACCAGCTCAACCACATATGACCAGCTCACCACATATAATCAACTCAACCACATTAGACCACTCAAACCACAATTAACCAGCACAGATCAACCACCTAAAACAGCTCAACCACATAAGACCAGCTCAACCACATAAGACCAACTCAACCACATTATATCAACTCAACCACATTAGACCAGCTCAACCACATTATATCAACTCAACCACATTAGACCAACTCAACCACATTATACCAGCTCAACCATATTATACCAGCTCAACCACATTAGACCAGCTCAACCACATTAAACCAGCTCAACCACATTATACCAGCTCAACCACATTAGACCAACTCAACCACATTAGACCAGCTCAACCAAATTATACCAACTCAACCACATTATACCAGCTCAACCACATTAGACCAACTCAACCACATTAGACCAACTCAACCACATTAGACCAACTCAACCACATGATATCAACTCAACCACATTAGACCAACTCAACCACATTAGACCAATTCAACCACATTATATCAACTCAACCACATTAGACCAACTTAACCACATTAGACCAATTCAACCACATTAGACCAACTCAACCACATTAGACCAACTCAACCACATTATAAAGACCAACATGTTACTTTCACACAGAAGCTCCCTTAAAAAAAAAAATGTGAAATCTGTTTTGCCTTCTATCCGGAGATAGAGATAAGAACCGTTAGCGAAACACTTTCTCAGTTCCCGACATCACAAGGGACCAAACAGAAATATTGATCATAAATTTTAATCTGATCGTCATATGGGACAAACATGGGATCATCAAAATGTCTTTTCACTATGCTGAGCAAAAGTAGCCCGATTGGAAATGGCTTTATAACGAGTGAAACTCGCGAAACTGCGCAAGATCTTCTCTCAATTGAAAGTAGGGACTACCATGGGTCCTTTGTGCGATTAAATGACTAAAAAGGAAAATCAGTCTCATAGAAAACCGCTGAGTTTAACTAAACATTTTTCATGACGATTTGGTAAAACATCCATTACAACAGCAACTTTTATAAATGTATTATACACATAATGTATTATGTTGGAACTTGAAGCTGACTAAACCAAACTTAACACCTCCACAGTCCACGTCTTTTTGCTAAACTTTCTGTTTTCTTTTTCCATTACTGCTACCATGATTTTTTAACCTCAAGATGTGATTATTGCAATCTTAAAAATTAAAATTTATGAAGCATTTCACTTGTTGAACTGCTAACATTTTGGCTGCATGATTTAAAATAAAAATGTTATGTTCAATAGAAAATCATGAATGCTACAAATATACATTATACAACTACAGTCAACTACTACTGTCAGCTAGAAAGTTAAAATCTAAATCGAATCTAAATTGTTTATCATAATGAAAGTCACATCAAATCGTCAATACTTTGCTAACGGTAGGATAAATCTAAAATCGGGATGAGTGTTATCAAGATTACTGATTCAAATTTCTATCCTAAGTAATACTAATACTGCTAACAAGTCAATCAAAGTGAGCGAAAGGATATGTTATCTACTGTGTAGTTGTAAAACGTACACTCTCGACTACTAAAAACTGAAAGAAATAAAACATAAGATAGCAGTCAGCTTTAGTTCATAACCGGCGCCAGTCTGAGTAAAGTTTCTGTTTGAATTGTTTAGGCCAACGAAAATCGCGATAAAAAAGCCATGCACATTATCGACGATTTTCCTGTGTCAGTTGAGAAAATGAAATCTTAGTGGACTATAATACCATTCTTCCATTTTGCTTGAAGTTAAAGTTTCAAATCTTTCTTGATCAAAGACTCGAGTCATTTATTTTGGGCGGAACCCTTGGAGTACCGTTTATATCAGGGGATGTTGTGTTTCTTATGGGAGAAAGAGCAAGAACGGTGTCTTGCTTGTTAAAAGTATTGGAGAAAGTAGTTTCCTCTCTGGCGACACTCTTGTTAGCCAGGACGCTACTCATCACTGACAGGCTGGTGTGACCCCGAGTAAGAGCTGCTGAAGATTTCCTGTAGGCCCCATGCATGGACTTCTTGAAGTAGGTATTCATATTTTGGCCTCTTGCCAGGAAGATGCAAGGGTTGATCCCAGAGTTGGCAATGCTTAGTCCTGATGTGAGAAGGTAGAGAACAAAGCATGCCCATCGCATACCAATTGGGCTCTCAATGATGCGATCAGCAATCGTGTAGTCAGCTACTCCTTTGAGGGCGGAGAGAGAGATTGCAAGCCTGGGAGTGAAACAAATGAGAGTGGAGACGGTAGTCTAAAGGATTGTGATAGCACCATCTCAACTTGATTAGCAATGTAGATTTCATAGCGGGATAAGATGAGTTATGAGCGTGATGTTAGGGATGTGATGGTGAATTGGAATTACAGGAATGTTACATGTGACAATCCTCTCCATCCACGATCAGTAAGCCCAGTTGTCGAAGTTTTCAATTTCAGTGACTCATTCCAGTGTGCTTATGAATTCATATTGCCCTATGCGAGTAAGGGCACGATGGTGTAAGGACATGTTCCACTGCAGACGAAAACAGGGTATAAGCAGAGCACGAACAGAGGGAACGAGGTAGCAGAGTAGAGCTAGAAGACCAACTTTTTGTGTTTCTTCTGAAGGTGTGAGACGACGGAGAGACATCGACACCAACTCCATCACCATGAACAGGAACATTAGAAAAACGTATCAACAGGAAGTTACCTTTAATTCAAAATATTAGCGTCTCTAAATTTCATTAATTGGGCCTTTCCGATTACTCAAACATCGAAACAATAGTTGTGTTTCTTAAGTTTAGGAATGCTATGTGACAAGCTAACTTACCATGTGAAAAAATTCTAAAAAATATACCAATAACACTAGTTTTAAATAAAGAAGTCCCAAAGCCTGGGATATTTTTAGTGGCACATTATAATAATCAAACACTACCTCAAGATTGAAAGGGCAGAAATAACACTGAAAACAGTAAAGTAATGGGTTAGAAGTGAAGAAGTTGACAGCCTGAACGTTTTATCAGCATTTTGGAGGAGGGGTCCAAGAGTGAGAACCGATTCCAATCCACGACAACAGAGTGCAATAAAGAGAATAGTCGTGATTATCTTTTCTCTGTTTCTTGATGAAGAAGAAGAGTCCCGAAGCTGGTTAGCGAAGATTATCCCAACCACAGTGAAAATGAAGTTTTAAACCACCAACAAATTTTTTATCCGAAACATGTTTTTATGGGTAAGGTAACACGGGCACTATAGTACGATTTTTCTGTCACATCTTTAAACGCCGATCATCTTAATTTATGAAGTTGAAGGTGCTGGAATTGGGATACTGTTCCGGCATCGAGCGTCACGTGAGTTCTGACGTCACAACTCACGTGACGTCATGTGTCTAGGACTCAATAAAGAGTAGTTCTATAAACCCACCGTCCCCAGGGAAATATTAGACCCTAATTTCGACTTCACGGCTCTTAACGACGTGGATTCAGATTCGGACGGAGACTCGCAAGATATCGACTCTAAAATACCGGACCGGAGTCGTGTTGTTTCGGAGTCTGTTACTTTACAGGTTTGTTGGTGAATAAATGTGGAGGGGGGGGGGGGGGGGGGTGGGGGGGGGGCAATGTATTGGTATTTGGTCGCTGGGGTTCTGAGACAATACCAGTCTACATCGATGTTTGATTTGTCATTCTATACCAACAGTCGGAAATCATTAAAATGTGATATGTAAGATATCGCTAGCGGCTTACCTAGAGCAGTTCCCACTTAATCATTACTAATAATTAACTAATTAATGATTAACTTATTACTAATTATAGGAATCTTCTGACACGTGTCAGTGTAAGAAATGTGTCCCAGTACCTGAACTTGATCCCGTAGCTCTTCAACAAATAACTGATAGTATCGAGAATATTGGGCTGAACAGTGATATACCGGACTCTTGGAAATTGGTGAGATATTGTTTTCTTTCTTGGTTCAAATTGTATTGATAAATTGGCAGGAGATCATTATTAGCTAACTTGGTCTCCAATTGTGATGCGTTTTTCGTACCTAATGTTTACAGAGGATGTTGGGCATTTGATCTACATTTTCTGTCGTGAAATTATGAGAAGCTTGAATAAAATTGATGGAAATATTCTAGCAACTCCCAAAACACAGCTCACTAACAACTATTATAAGAGGGGTTCTTGAAACATATTTATAAACATATTTATAAATGATACATCAAGTGATGTCACATTTTAACACCTTTTAACACATTTTAACACATTTTCACTAACAACTCTTTTACTCCCAGATAGATGGTAAATTCTCAACCATAATGGCGTTCAAGTTAACCCACCTTGCTCTAAAGTTTCAGTGTGCCAAGAAAATGAAACTAGACTGCGGTTTTGTGCACCTAATGCACTCCCAGGGCCGCTCCAAAAAGGTATGATGACGTCACGTGAGTTGACATCACGTGACGTCACAATTCACGTGACGCCACGTGTTTCACGCTCACTCACTCACATTTCCCCGCAGTTAGAGGGAAAGTTCTCCTCGGTAAACGCGTTTTCTCGGACCCACCTGACTTCCTCAATCCAAGTTACGGAGCTGGATATGCCGTTAGATTGTGGATATTTGTGGTTTATGTGGTCGGATAGTAATAACGAAGGTTACAATAGACAGGTGGGATGAAGCATTGAACGCAGGGTGTCCAGGGACATCTTATTTTCAAAATAACCTGGACACCCTGAGTGTGTCATTGTTTTTACAAAGCATGAAAAATGGGATTTGTGCGAGTTTGAAATAAAGCGTTTTGACTTTTGAGTGAAATCAACTCCGGTTTGTGTCAAAGCATCACGGATTTAATTGAAACGGGATTGGTTCAAAGCACAACAAATGTTATGTTCGCTGGTTTTATTACAAAGTAAGCATTATTACAAAGTTACCATTATTAAAAAGTAAGCATTATTTCAAAGAGCAAAGTAAGCATTATTACAAAGTAACCATTATTACAAAGTAACCATTATTACAAATTAAACATTGACGATCAGTTATTTAATATATATAATCACGGAACTTCAGCCAACAAAGCGGCAAAGCCCCCCTTGTTTATTCTGAGAGTTAGTGTCTGCTGAAGTGTGAGCTGAAATGTCAGTTTTGTGTTCTGCACACTAAAAATGTGGGATTGAATGTTCGGTGTATGACTTGTGAGTAATGGGTATGTAGATTGTGGGATTAGGACCTGAAATGTGTGTTATTAGTGATCTCAGCATTTGAATGTGAGCTTTTGTGATCACAATCACTCCTCACTCTTCAGCGCCAAAACGAAATTGTGGTCTATGAATATTGGTTCTAACAGTTTTATGGGATTGTGCATCCGATCTCCTATCGGTTGAAATTTCGCTTTCTTCGAAGGACAATGCACAAAGCACAGTGCACATTGCACAATTTAATGCACTTGATCTATTCCTCTGTTTATCGAATTTAAAAAACTCATTTGTATAAGGTCTTTATCATCACATCGTTTTTATCATCTTCCCTAAAGCACCCAAATATTTGTAAGTTATTTAGTTTTTGATGCGTTAACCTCTACAAACCTATATTTTAAAAACCGTATTTTAAATTTTTTTTATTATCTTCAGGATTTTTACCAACTGTTGGTGAATAACTGCACTCCTGAATGTAACGAAACAAGGACCATTCACTTTGAAAAGGTAGAGAGTTTATCATTGATTTCAAATTGTGGATATCTCTCGATATTCGTGAAATATCATTATTTTTACAGTATTTCTAATATCAATCAATTTATCATCCAAAAGTTTGTACTAAGAGTTCTAGCATCAAAAATAGCAATAAATGTAGCATATTACTGGTACTAGAATTAAGTACCAAAAACCACCCCTGGGTGTATAATGTATACTTATAGTTTATACTGTATGCATGCTGTACTGCATGCAAACATCTCCCTTCAGATCATTTTATTAATCCTGTTTTTACTTCTAGAGCCCCCACTTGTTAATTATAGTTAATTATACTGGAATGATTCTTCGGAATTTCGCTGGATTGTACAACTTTCGTCTTGGTAGATTCCAAACACAAGGAAATTTTCCTTCTGGTTGGTAATATACTCAATGATGGAAGTATAGTGTATTGGCTATGCCCCGCTTACTAGTTTAGCTCTTTCTAGTCCCCTGCTACACGGCATGTAAACAGGGATTGGCTAGTTAGAGGCGGTCCGTGTAGGCCTTACACTGTGCTTTCAGCAATACTCATAGTTAATTATAGTTAATTATAGTTAATTATAGTTAATTATAGTTAATTATAGTTAATTATAGTTAATTATAGTTAATTATAGTTAATTATAATTAATTATAGTTATCCAGCGTCCCACTCAGTATTTATCTCACTACATTCTCTCTTCAGGTAAGAGCGTTCAGGCTCGAACCAGAACTCTCGGAATCAGGAGCGTACGTTACTATTGACGGTGAACTGGTACCGTACGAACCGCTACACGCCTGTATATTCAAGGGCATCGCTCGAGTCATCTGCTTACCATTAATGGATTAAGAGACTTTGTTGTGGGAGGTCACGTGGTATGGTGTGTGACGTCACGTGATATGGTGTGTGACGTCACGTGATATGGTGTGTGACGTCACGTGATATGGTTTGTGACGTCACGTGACATTGAGTGTGTTTCACTTGATTCTGATAGTGATATATTATTGCGTTTATACGTTGTTCACTTGTATTATAATATGTAGTTAAATGTGGACACTTTGTTTATGAAAGCTTTTTACAACAGTTTGGTAGCTCAGCTTTAAATTTATAAGTTCGTACTACGAACTTCGTAGTCGCATAATACTATTAACAGCATTATTGATAAAGAGAAATTGATTTTTTAGGGTTTCCAAATATTGGAAAAATTGTACTGTTTTGAAGTAATAAGATGATAATATGTACATAACGATTTTTTTGTAATTGATTAATTAATCAAAAATTTAATAGTCTTGAATAAAAAGTAACGAGATAAAATTCATTGTGACAGAAAGTTAATTATCAAAATTTGACATTGCCAAGACTAGTTTTATTTAATAATATTACTATAATTACTAATATTCAATAATGGTAATCTTTCTTCGCTCTTATGAGTGGGTCGATCATATAGTTTGATAGTTGGTGACGAAGTGAGAGTCTCCAGTCAGTGTTTCAAAACAATTAGTTGTCGACGCGGTTTCAATAACGTTACAATAACTTACATAGTATATAGCTGCAATTTACAATGTTAAAATAAACTATCAATACCAGATCTCACTTCGTCACCATCTGTCAAACTAAATATTCAATAGTATTACTATTATTAATATTCACAGTCCTTTCAAATTCAACAGATTTTGAATTCGAGAACTGATTCTCCATTATATTTAAGTCTGTATAATATCATTTTCAGTGATTAACTTTCGAGTACTCTGCATTTATAAAAAGATACAAAAAGGACTGTGAATGGCACTACATTTTTCAAGAATTTCTATTTTCTAGAATTTCAACCTCCTAGATTTTCCTACACTTTCTGGATTACAACTTTATTTGTTGTTTCACTTAATAGTAATACGAATATGTGGTATAATTTGTAACTGTAGTGTGATTGTTAAGAAGATTATATTCGTACGCATTGTCATATTTTGTCAGATCAAGAGTTTCAATTTTTAATCAAGAGTTTTCAATAATTAATTAATTTTCATAACACATGTAATTGTAAACAATAAACATTCTGGTTAAATTAATTTTTGACTTCACAGTAATATAACTAAAATCATCTGTTATAAAACAAGAAATGCGGCCACTTTTCTTTTGTGGATGGGCGCCACTATAGCTCCAGAGGTGGACGAGGTTGTCGTGGTAAATGTTGTTCAGATCGCTGAGATGGGCGCCTATGTCAAACTACTTGAATACGATGGACAGAAAGGTATGATCCTCATGTCTGAGTTCTCGAGAAAGCGTATCAGGTCTATAAACAAGTTGGTGAGAGTGGGAAGGAACGAGTGTGTCCTGGTGACCAGAGTGGACCAAGATAAGGGGTATATTGATCTCTCCAAGAGACGAGTCGTACAGGAGGATATTAAGAGGTGCGAAGAAAAGTACTCTAAAGCTAAAACAGTTAACCAGATCTTGAGACATGTTGGGGAGCTGCTAGATTATGAGGATGATAAAATGTTAGAGGAGCTGTACAAGAAGACCGCGTGATGCTTTGACAAGAAATACCCCACAAGTGGAAGATCACACGAGATGTTCAAAGAAGCCGCTCAAAAACCTGAGGTCCTCGATAAGCTGGATATTGATTTGATTTGAAACTTTTACAAAATAGCAAATATACAAATGTACAGCAAATCGAACAAACATATAAAATGGGCCGAAATGTATAAATGCTAATGCTATAAAGCGTGGGTCAGTGAAACAAGTACAGAGGACAACTTTTAAAACACGAGGTTTATGGCCGCCCAAAGTCTCAATAACGTCACCTCCACCTAGTAATAAAATTATGAAATATGAAGTGTGAAACAAATTATGAAATATGAAGTGTGAAACAATCAAGAAATAACTCGTATATAAATTTTAAAATTGTCTCTCAAATACAGATAACGTCCGAAAACTATTAAGATACACAATACTCATTCAAATACTGATCAGTGTCCGAGAGACATGAATTGCTTCATGGTGGTTTCTTAACACGGCTACAGACTTTCCCGTACCGGATATAGTGGTCGAGATGAGTCTGTTCAACCCTCTTCTTCTTCAGGTCGGTAACCAGATGTTTCCTCGTTGCTCGTTCTTCGCTAGATCTATCTGGACAGATCCATACATTTTTGTGGGTCTCAACTAGCCTCAGTCTTCCTGTTTTCATCAGAATCTGTTGAACCGCTGTTGAGCTTGGGACAGTGATCTTTACTGGTCGGATAGTCGTACTACCTGGCCTCTTCCTGCCGACTCTAGTCGCTTCGAAGTGAGGTTTCTCCCCAATCTCCTCCAGAACTGCGGTTACTAGCGCTGGAAGCTGTTCTCCCTCTTCTTTCAACCCAAACACAATCAGGTTCTTGCTCCTGTCCTCCTCTGCAGCCACACTCTTCATCACCTTCTTCAGGATGTTACTGTTGCAGACCGTACCACTTGCACTGTTTTGTTGTACGCTGCACTGTAGCTCTTAATCCCTGACTCCACCGTTGTTTGCACTGTCTCCTTAACCGACGTCTTAAACAACTGTAGTTCTTTGTCCTTCTGCACAAGCAGCTGGCCCTGCAGCCTGATCAACTTATCCTTGTCTTCTAACTCTTCCGTCTTCGAGAAATATATGATCTCCTCCATTTTAGCCATCTGGCATTCATGCCGTTGAACGAGGTCTATTGCTCCCACAAGCCGAAGTGCCAGATGCTTTTTATAGACAGTTGGAGCCATAAATATTTCTCTGTCCATATCTCCACAAATATCTCTGTCGTCTATTTTCAGTTCTTTTCCCAGCGTAATGAACCACTTAGTAACACTGTCCTTCAATTTTGTCTGTTCATCATACTCGAATCCTTGAATTTGGTCCAGAGATTGGGTCACCTTACGATCATCCTCCATAGTGTACTTGTATAGGAATGTACAAGTACACACGCAAAGGCTAACTACGCGGTAGCAGCAAACTGAACTATTATCGCAATTTACAAAAGATAAGAGAGCTCGATAATTGCAACGTAAGCTACACTGACTACACACAACGAGCACACCAAAGAGGTTCTTTTGAAAAACATCAAGAGGAGACTCACTCCGCAAGCAGTCAAAGTAAGAGCTGACGTAGAGGTGCTATGTTACGCGTACGAAGGTATTGATGCAGTGAAAGCAGCTCTCAGAGCAGGTTTAGAACTATAGCTACAGAAGATGTCCCCTTGAAAACTAACCTTATTGCTCCACCCATTTACGTCATCTCTGTAACGTTATTCATCGAAGAGAAAGGAGTGGAGGCAGTAAGAGCGTCTATGGCTGCCATCAAGAACTCAATAGAGGCTTCCAAAGGTACCTTCAACGTGAAGCTCGATCCTAAGGTAGTAACAGAAAGAGAGGATCAGAAACTGCAGGAGGAAATGGAACAGAGGGAGAGGGACATGATGGAGAAAGATGGAGATGAAGACAGTGAAGATGAGGAAAGTGATGATGACGAGGAGGAGGAGAGTGACGAGAATGAAGTCTAATTTTGTGTTGAAACTTCTCCTCTGTTTCTTTTAATTTTTGAATTGTTTGGGTATCTTATGTTCGTCATGTGCCATGTACATGATCTTCGTGTATCATTCTGATATTCTGTTTCCCATCTACGACTCAAATTCTCGTCTCATTAAATATCTAGTACGACATATCATCTCGTCACCCAAAATAACAATATTTTCAAAAGTACGTGCTGTAAATATTTGCTCATGTTCACGATCAAAATAGCTAACCCGAACCTTTCCATGATATAGCCAGTGCACTCAAGCGGTGCAAAATGACCTGCAGTCTAAGAATCTAGAAGAAATCCCAGAGGATGAAAATGAACTGATAGCCTCGTCCAGTAACTCAGTAGCTGCTACTAAACCCTGGTAACTGGTAACCCTGGTAACTCTGGTAACTGGTAATGAAAACTAACGTGGTAGTTACTTCAGAAGCAGTACCAGAAGGTATTTAGTAACCCTATGAGTGCCGATATTGATGAATGTATGAAGAGCCAAGGATTACCTCAGGGACTGGATTCCGGATTCAACGAGCTAAGCTTCACAAGAAAAGATATCATTGAAGCATTAGGAGAACTGGATCCCTATTCGGCCGCACCTAATGGAGAGATTCCTGCTAGGATACTCACAGCCTGCAAAGAACAACTTGCAGACCCGCTAACACTCCTCTGGCAGGAATCGTTCAGCAGTGGGTATATACCAGCGGAATTAAAGACCCAATATATCACCCCTATCTATAAGAAGGGGGACAGAACGGACCCAGCAAACTATAGACCAGTGTCTTTAACCTCACACATCATTAAGACATTCGAGCGTGTAATCAGAGAAAACCTGGTTCGTCATTTGGAAGAGAACATGATGATCAATACGAACCAGCATGGGTTCAGAAAAAAGAGGAGTTGCATGACGCAGCTTCTCAGTCACATCGAACAGATCTATAAATCACTGAACAATGACGAAGAAGTTGATGTGATTTACCTCGACTTTGCCAAAGCTTTTGACAAGGTCGACCATGCAGTGCTGCTAGCCAAGCTTGGTCGATACGGAATTGGTGGTCAGGTTTTAAGGTGGATCAAAGAGTTTTTGCTAAACAGAAAACAAACAGTCGTTGTTGAAGGTCGCAAATCATCCTTCCAGCCAGTGGCAAGTGGGGTGCCACAAGGGACAGTCCTAGGACCGATCCTATTTATCCTGTACATCAATGATCTGTTGAACAGCATTAGCTATAGTAACGGATTCAGCTTTGCAGACGACATAAAGCTGATTTGGGCTATCCGAGGAATGAGTAGTGTGGAGTTACTGCAAGATGATCTCAACATAGTCATCGAGTGGTCACGTGTTAACAACATGGAGCTACACGAACAGAAGTTTGAGGTTGTAAACTACCCCCTGAATGGATCAAAAGCTCTAAGAGAGCTCCCGTTCTACCCAGAGACTGTTGAGTATACTACACCAAAAGGACACGCAATA